GTTGTAAAATATAGAGTTAAGGGGTGTTGCAAATAAATCACTTTTTAATTCGGAAGTAATGATAAACTTGGTAGGGCCGCGAATATCATCACCCTTGAGAAAACATCATTTCAACGCAATCTTGGATGTTTGACTCTTCGAAGTTAATTTTTTGCGACAACTTTTGAATCATGATGCTCACTAGAACTCAGGTTCGTGTTGCATGTGCTGCCTTCGGGATGGCTCAGAAACTAGTTGCAGACATGCTCCAAGAATTCAAGTCAGAGCTTTCGTTAAACAATGCACAGAAGAAATGTTGGAAACTTTGCCTGAATGCGAGATACACAAACGTGAAACCTTGATTAGTGCTCTCATTGATGTGCTCACAGAGACAGCCACAAAAACAGACATGTTTGTTGCATTGCTGAAATATTTTGCAAATTGATTAAAACTCGTGCATGAGAACAATGGTGGCCCAATCAAGAGATATTGATACTTGGAATTACTTTTTTGATTGAATTAAAATCTTATTTTACTTTGTTATGCTCTCGGGGAAAAAAGTATGATTTATTTTGCAACACCCCTTAGTATAAATCACTTGAGGACATTTGTGCATTACACGATTACTGTGAAGGTTAAGTGTGGCACAACAGTAAGGTCAATTGAGCTTATACATTTCTAACAGAATCACAAAATTAAAAACATTAGTCGTAATTTTCCACAAACACAGTAGTAAACATTATTGAAAAAGTGTCAATCAAAATTAGATACAAATATTCCTACACCTATGATTTTTACAAATAGATCACCTAAGTTTGATTGAAAAAAAATGTAGGAATTCCAAACCATGTGTTTCTTACTGATTAAGGTGTGCCATAATAAGCTGATGAAGGATCTTTTACGTTTTTATCTATACTCGCATGGCCAAAATCAGTAAACAAAAAATATGTTCAAAGCAATCTGTTTTACAAGCACTGTAAAATTTACCATGAAAATTAATTTCAGCATGAATTCACTGCAAATGTTAACAAATAAAACATAGATGCAAACAGGATTTATCATTATCAATGAACTTACAACATATGAGAACAATAAAGCATATATATATCTTTAATATTTTATATATCTCAATTTTATTTTTAACAAAGCTGGATACACATTATTTAAGTTAGTTTGGTAATGTATCAGACTTCTACACAGGAAACACTTAGCTGTAATCAAAATATATGTCAAACAGTGAATTCTGTCATCCTGACAGGAATCTGATCGGTATACTTAAATTTGTCCACCAAAGATATAGCATACATTGAATCAATAAACTGGTCAAGGTAAAACACTCTGAAATACTTACTGCAATATTCATATTGATCTTGATAGTCTCTCCTTCTTTGAATCTAAGATCTAAGTGTTTCTTCCCTTCTTTTTCCCACTCCTTCTCCAATTCTTCTTCTTTGGTCATTGACCTGCAAGAGTAAAAAGCCATTGTTCCTATATTAGCCCTTTAAAAAAATTTTTTTAAAATTCCTAAACTCAAGATACTGATAAGGAAAACAAAATTAAATATAAAGCCTTAGAACTAGATCTGCCTGATACTGATTAGCTGGAATAGTTAACACAAGTTTAACATCTTATTATATCTAACAGAGATGTGTGGAAATATAATGTACGTGTAATGTCCTATTATATCTAACAGAGCTATATTGAAAAGTTAACAGAAGTTCAACATCCTATCATATCTAAGAGATGTGTGGAACAGTTAGTACAAGTCAAGCATCTTATCTAACAGAAATATAGCATTTGTTACCATTCCTCCTCACCTAGAAACTAGCATGGAAAGTGCCAGCAGATTTTACAAAGTAAAAAACTTAATTTTTATATTTAACATGCATATATAGCTAAAGATGTAAAAGAATTAACCCCTTATCCACCAAAGAGGACCAATATTTTTAACCCTTTGGATACAGGTGGGTCAAAGTGTGCACGTCATGACATTTTTAGAGTTACTTTCAAAATAAAACTTATAACCAAAATTTCTATATTACCTAAATAAATTCTCAATTTTGACTTGTCTGTGTCGTGATACAACTGCACATTTTAGATTCTGTATGTGTTCAACTAAATAACAGACACATAATATAACTCCTTGAAAGTCAGAATATATAAACTCCAATCTTCTTTCTTTAGTGAAATATAAACAAAGATATCAAACCCATTCTGTCTTTCAAACAATATCAATAATTCTCTCTCGTATTCCTTATATGGGTTAATATTTTGGAACTCATAATTAGATATTTAGTTTCAGTTGTGTTGTTTGCAAACATGAGTTCAGCTCAAGCAGATAACTGAATTTTTTTAACCTATTTATAGTTTATTTAGAAAGACAGTTAAATTATAACAGTTTTACGACATTAAATTTTGGTGCATGATAATACTGTGTGTTCTAAAATGCACATTTCAAATGAGAATGAATAATTTTGTGAACTACCAACACTGTCCCAAAAAAAGTGGGTTTACAGTGCCTTTGGCCATCAATGGTAAAAGGCCAAAGTCCAGATTAAGTACTAAATTCATTATTTCTTACGTATATTTTTCATTTATTGTTATAA